GGGGTCAGGAATGAGGGAGTGATGGGGTAAAGAAAGGAAGAGCATCATGAAGAATGTTCCAGAAGGGATACATAGATCACAGACAGAATTAACGTCATAAGAAGGAAGTGAAGACAGAACGGTTGGTAGGTCTGCTCCCTTGGGCGGCTGCCTGTGAAATTTTTTGGGCGGAGGGCGGGGAATTCTATGAGCAATTATGGGGAGAAAGCCCTCCCGAGGACCACGAGTGATCACGTCTTCAGTAGATGGACAGCCCGTTCTGAAGTCATCTACTCCCTCCTTCACAAATACCCACCGCCGGCTGTCCATGGAGGTGGGGCACTTCCCAAGCTTGTTGTTCTGCCTGGATAAATAGCAGGAAGGCAACTTGTCCCTGTCCTTGAACCAGGGCTTACATTTCATGCCCAGGGGCAAGGGCTCCAGCGGCCCCGGCCCTAGCAGCCACTTCTTGTTGAGCTCGGGCTTCTTGTCCAGCTTCGGCCCTGACAGCCACCGCTTGATCAGCCCCGACTCTATGAGCGCCTTCTTCCTCAGGTCCGTCTTTAACAGCCACCTTTTGTGGGGCTCCGGTAAGGGCCACTGCTGGCCCGCCATGGCGCCCTTGACCCAGGGCGACCAGAGCCTCAGTGGTTTGTTGTCCCTGCCGCCCAGTCGCTAGGAGACCGTTGCCGGTTGCGGCCGCGCTCTTATTCTTTCGCGAGGCGGGTGAGCACGCGCCCCTGCACAGCCTGCATTGTCCCGGGATGGCCCGCAAGGTTGCATTCCTGTTTGTGGTAGAGAACTGTTCCCGTGTATGGGCACAGCACAGTTCAGCTACCCATTCATCTTTTGATGGACTTTTGGACTGATTCCAGTTTGAGGCTATTTGGAAATCAAGGGGCCACGAATAATTCACGTGTTCATATCTTCATACAAATACTTTCACTTCTCCTGGGTAAATTATAGCTAGGAACTGAAAGGCGGGAGCTTGTGAGAGGTGTTTTTTCTTATTACTCACAGCCCTCAGGTTTTGATATTTGCCCAAATATGGGTGAGGTGAGTGAGGCATTGGGTATACAACTTAACGTGGCACCCAAAAAACCCCTCAGAAATCAAGATCAATTATCTTTTAAGGTAACATTTTCAACAATAATCAGAAAAACAGTGCCATATTAAAGCCTGAGGGCAAAGGATAGATCAGCACTCTACTACTGATCCTGTCTTTATTTAAAACCCATGTGTTGTTCACTATCCATTTCCTTTTTTACAAATACTATTTGCCTTTTTGGATACTGGTATGTTGTTTGGAAAGAGTTTGATTCTTTGGGGTCCTTTTTAAGATTTGATTGAAATAAACAGAGCAGTTCCCTGTGATAGTATACGGCCAAATAATGTTATACCATGTTGTATGGTTAATTAACTGTTTCTCACTACTGCAGCAAGACCCTTCCACGTAAATTATTCAATGCCTGTGCATCTACAGGTTGTCTAGTCTGGCTGACAGTAAAGGTCGCTATTGCAGGCCCTGTGTGAGTATCAGTTACCAAGAATCCTTTTCAGGGCTCCCCGCGGCGCATGCGCTAGAGGGCCGGAGCGCGGTCTTGACGCGTGCGCAGCCTGGGCCCTCCCAGCAGGCTCTGGGGCAAGATGGCGCCGCGGGGGTCTGTGCCGCGGACTGTCTGAGGCGACGCCAAGGGACTGCGACCCTGTTCCAGCTCCGCGGGAAAGCAGAGGCCGAACCCCAGGGCTGCGATGGCCGCGGCGGTGGCCAAGTTGGAAGGGCCGCCGTTCATCAGTGAGGCAGCTGTGCGAGGCAACGCCGTGGTCCAACGCCGCGGTCCTGGACCTCGGGGCCATGGCCGGCATCCTAGGCCTCACCGGCCTCTACCTGCTCGCCTCCATCCTGTTCTCCCTGCTCCTCATCCTCAAGGCGGGCAGGAGGTGGAACAAATACTTTTAAGTCCCGAAGACCTCTCTTCACGGGAGGCCTCATCGGAGGCCTCTTCACCTACTTCCTGTTCTGGAGTTCCTCGCAGTGGTTCTCAACCTTCCTAATGCCGCAACCCTTTGATACAGTTCCTCATGTTGTGGTGACCGCCAACCGTAAAATTATTTTCGTTGCTACTTCATAACTGTAGTTTTGCTACTGTTATGAATCGTAATGTAAATATCTGATATGCTATATGTGTTTTCTGATGGTCGCGACCCACAGGTTGAGAACCACTGCATGGCATGGTGCACGTCTACTGAAATGGGGCGGGTGACTCCTTTAGGAAACCAGACAGTAACAACGTGTAGACTTACTTAGTTTTAAAATGGTTGAATTCACTGCTTGTGCTGTAACGTTATAACTTATACCAGAGGACGGAGAGCCTGTAATACTCTTCAGATTAAATGAAGCGTGAGACCAAAAAAAAAAATCCTTTTCAGTGGTTTATTTCCTGGCTTCTAATAATGTATTCCAAAGTTTCTGTTTTCTGTTGAGAAATCAGATGACAGTTTCATGGGTGCTCCCTTGCAAATAACTAAGTGCTTTTCTCTTGCTGCTTTTAAGAGTCTCTCTTTGTCTTTAACCTTTGGCATTTTAATTATGACATGCTTTGGTGTGTCCTTCTTTGTGTTCATCTTGTTTGGTACTCTCTGCGTTTCCTGGACTTGCAAGTCTATTCTCTTCACCAGGTTAGGGAATTTTCCCATCATTATTTTTTTTTCAAATAGCTTTTCAATTTCTTGTTCTCTCTCTTTTCTTTCCACAACCCCATGGTGCAAATGTTGGTATGCTTCAAGTTGTCCCAGAAGCTTCCTACATTATCCTCACTTTGGGGGATTATTTTTTCTTTTTGCTGTTCCGATTGGGTGTTTTTTGCTTTATCTCCAAACCACTGATTTGATTCTCACCTGAATCAATTGTACTGTTGATTTCCTGTAAATTTTTCTTCATTTCAGTTAGTGTATCATTCATTTCTGACTGGTTATTTCTTATGGTTTCCATGTCCTTTTTCTATGCTGTTGAAGTTCTCACTAAGTTCATTGAGCATCCTTATAACTAGTATTTTGAATTTTGCATCAATTACATTACTTGTCTATATTTTGTTTAGTTCTTTTTGGAGTTTTGTTCTATTCTTTCATTTGGGACATTTTTTTTGTCTGCATTTTAGCACCATTCCTGTGTTTGTTTCTTTGTATTAGGTAGAACTGCTACATCTCCCAGGCTTGATAGAGTGGCCTAATATAATAGGTGTTCTGTAGGATCCAGAGGCACAGCCTACCAGATCACCCAAGCTGGGCATTGGGTGACATGTGGGTTGTGCACACCCTCCTGTTGTAGTTGAGACTTGATTGCTGTTGGCACATCAATAGGAGGGATTTACCCCTTGGTTACAAGGACAGGCTATGACAAACAACCTCCAAACATTGACCATGTGGAGGATGAGCTGTGCAGGACCCACCCCACAAAGAAGGACTTACTTCTGCAGGCCTCCTCTGGGACCTACTGCCTGCCCGTTGAGTGTGTCACTTGTGGAGGTATTTGGGTGGTGCTTTGACATAATCTGAAGCTGTCAATCAGGTGTCTGGTTATGGGGCCTCCCTAAAGGTGCAGGCCAAGGTCAGCCACCACCAATGTTCTGTCCAGGGCCATCCAGCATGAACTACAAAGCGATCTGGAGATGGCTGCTATTTATGCTGAGTTTGGCGGTGCCCAAGCAAGGCCAAGTTGCAAATCAAGGCCAGCTGCTGCTAGTGCCAGGCCTGGGCCACTTACTATAAGATACAGGGTATGCTGAAGCCAGATGCTGCTTGTTTGAGAGCTTTTAGGAAAGTCTGAAGCATGAGCCAAGACAAGTCATTTGCATGGAAATGCTGGAAACAGCATTGGGTGGGCCTGCAGGCTGGGTGAGGTGGGGTCTCACAGAATCACTAGGGCAGGGCAAACAGTGTGAGCCTGGTTGATGGAGACTCAGATATGGTGCTACCTGCTGGCTCTGGGAAAGTAGTGGGGAGAGTCCAGAAAAGGAACTATGGCCTCTGCCAGCACTTTTGTCTGAGAGAAAGCTGCCCCCTTCCCAGCCCTTGCCCTGAAGTGAGACAATTCAGTCCCTCCCATATGCCCCTGGTGCTTTTTGAGCTGCTGCCTGGTGCTGGAGCTCAGAGAGAGTGAATCTGAGTAAACCCATGTGCAGGTCCTTTAAGAGGAATTGCCTGGGACTCCAGCAGCCTCTGTCTCATTCAGCCACAATCCCTCCTTGTTTTTACAGCCAGAAGTTATGAGGACTTCTCCTCCTGGCCCTGAAATTGGGATGGGGGGCCTGGTGTGGGGCTGGGACCCCTAGCTCCTCAGGCAGGACCTCCACAGGAAATATTCCTCCTGGTTTTTAGTCAACACAGGTGGATGTGGAACCAGCCCATTTTGAGTCTCTGCCCCTCCTACCAGTCTTGATGTAGCTTCTTCTTTAAATCCCTTGTTGTAGAATTTCCATTCTGCTAGATTTCAGATGGTTCTGAGTGATGGTTGTTCTGTAGTTAAGTTGTAATTTTGATGTGGTTATGGGAGGATGGGGGTACCTGATGATGGGAATTTACCTTAAGATATCTTAGACAAGGGAGTTAACAAAACAAGGAATTGCTCTGGCCTGCTCACAACCAACATAGTCTCCTCCAAAATGCTTTTGTAAGCAGCAGTCACTTTTAAAAATGGAAGCCATTGTGAAATATCTTACTTGTTTTGCGTTCTTTAAATAGGTGCCCCTATAGGACCTGCTTTGCCTTAGAGCAGCGGTTCTCAATCTGTGGGTCGCGAGCCCTCTGGGGGTTGAACGACCCTTTTGCAGGGGTGACCAAAGACCATCGGAAAACACATATATAATTACATATTGTTTTGTGATTAATAACTATGCTTTAATTATGTTCAATTTGTAACAATGAAATTGGGGGTCACCACAACATGAGGAACTGTATTAAAGGGTCGTGGCATTAGGAAGGTTGAGAACCACTGCCTTAGAGAAACCAATAGAGCAAGGCCAAGTCTGGTGCCAAACTTCTGACTTGAGAAGTCCATGGCTACCATTCCCATTATCTATTCCATAGCTGTCAGCCACCTGTTCCATCTCAGATTGAGGACCTTAGAAGTCAGGCCTCAGACACCACCAGGCCAAGTCCCTCATACAGCAGACAAATGAGAAAATGGCCCTTGATGACTATCTGCCTTGTGATGGTCACTGCTGTCTCAGGACATCCCCTCTGAGGAAGATCCCGTGTGCTTCCCCACATGGCAGATGAGTGAATTGAGGCAGGAGGAAGGGTGAGGTGAGGAGTGTCCAGACCTTCAGCATGGATGAAACCAGAGTGCAAAGAAGAGTTGCAAAGCTGAGGCTGGCTCTCTTGCCAGTTAGGCCAGTGGTCAGCAAACTGCGGCTGGCGAGCCACATGTGGCTCTTTGGCCCCTTGAGTGTGGCCACGAAGTTTCAATCGCACTGTATGTGCGCGCCGGCACGTGGTATTTTGTGGAAGAGCCACACTCAAGGGGCCGCAGTTTGCCGACTACTGAGTTAGGCTGTCGGAGATTAGCAAGATGTTCGTTCCACCACCACACCTGAGGGTTTTCTGTGTGCCAAGAG